TGAGTTGATGAGTGAACCCAGGTGACCACTGGGCATTTGAATCTCAATGTTGCCTACACAGCATTATGAGTGTAATAATTTTCATTAGGTAACAAAACTGCTTCCTCACCTTTTTATATAGCTTAAAAAAAAAAGAAAAAAGACAAAAACAAAAAACAAAAAAAACACAACTGCTTCTATGTTAAAAAAAAAAAAAAAAAAAAGCAAGCCAACTACCTATTAGTGCTAGGACTGAAAGACATCCAATCCAAGTAAGTGATGGTTCTTGATTATAAAATGGAAATTGTATAAAAATTAAAATAGAATATAGAACCAATACGATAACACTGAAAAACTGACTACTTATATTTGGTTTTTTGATTTTTTGTGTGTGTTTTTTTGGCTGATTATATTTAATAAAAGCTACTTTTAGTATTTGAACTAAGTGCACATGTGTGCATGCGCACACACAGGACAAGCTCCTCAGCTTTGAACAGTATGAACTTTGAACAATATGACAACTATAGTATCACTGGGGAAAAAAATAGCTGACTTATTTCCAAGTACGTTTCCTGGGACTAGCAGTAGGTTCTCTCAAATTAAAAGTAAAGGCACCAGGCTATAAAGTGCCAATTCTTAGCACCAGAGAGACTTAAAAGTTCACAGGTAAATGACATTACAAATCAGAGAATCTGCTGATCTAGTTCTGTGGAATTGTATTATTTTGTCAAATGGAAAAAAAAAAAAATCAGGGTTTATGCCAAATAGATTTAAAAAGTTAAATCTTTCCTAAAATTTCCTAGAAGTGTATTTTACAATGCTATATAAAATAAAATTGCTGGCTTATAAAAAAATGCTCAAAGTTTCAAAGATGTGAAAAATAACAATGAACTGAAAACATAGTTTATATAAATCAAAGTCCCAGAAATGAAAATTAAAAGTAGTCTCTTTGAGAAAGGAATGGTGAAATTCAGCATGTATTCATAGTAACACATCTGAGAACCGTGGACAGCCATTATTGACTGGAATTCTAAATTGCCACCTGATACCTTTAATTAAGATTAAATCAAATCTGAGGCAAGACACTTAATGGACAGTACTTGAATGGGAAGATAGTAACTTCCTTCCTTGATAGACAATCTCCAGCCATCATTCAGAGTTCAGTTATTTGATGGCTTGGGAAGCAGTGTCCATTGAGTTTTCCTTTCTGGCTTGAAGAGACTCACTGCTAATGGACAATAATTCTCGAAGTTCCTTATTTTCAAGCTGGAAAAAAAAAAGGCATGTTTATTTCTGGTATATTTACTGTCAAGCTGCATTACAACAACACATTATTTTGAGCCAGGAGCAGAAAACATTATTTTTAATTTAAAAAATTTTAAGGAAACAAAAAATCCACTAGTTGAGAATTTCCTTAAATACTACTTATTTATTCATTTAACAAACATTTACATGTAGGATGTAGGCAATGATACTCTTTTGTAGTAGTAATTTACTGAGTAATTTCTATATACCAAGTGTTACAATTACAAAGGAGAAACAAAAAACAGAGTCCCTCTCCATTTGAGGAATTCACTATGTTTTATTCTTCATGGTTCCCACAGTTTTACTATTATTTCTTTTATTTAAAAAATTCCTAATAATCGTTTCACTCTGATTAATCTCCTCTCCTGGATATCTTATAGTTCCAGAGAAATGGAAGGAAAGGGGGAAAGAAATTACTTATTGAGCATGTAGCTGGGTACTACTTGGGTGCCCTGTATATGCTATCTCACAATAATCTGTAGGGTAGGTATCATTGCCTACATCCATATATTTCATGAGGATGCTCTGGCTCACAAAATTCCTAAAAGTTGTCCAAATTCAGACAACTTGGATGTGGTATTACTGGGGTCTGAATCTAGTGGTCATGTTTTTTCTACTTGAAGTATTAAGGTAGAATTTGTCCCACATTTCCTTAGGGCTGTTTCCATAAGTGAGGTAAATCGAGGATAAATAGAAGGTCATGCTATCATTTCACTAGCTCCTAATTCCTCCTTGGGACCTGTCACTACCTTTGATTTCTAGAGAGAGTAGCTTCCGCTCTTCATCCTTATTCTCTGCAGAAAATTCTGGTAAACCAAAGCATTTTTAGCTTCACCAAGACGTGCGGAAGTCCCAGCTAGAGTAACTAAGAGATTAGAGCCTGTGGTCAATGAATCTTCAGTATTTGTATCTGTCTCCTAGCATTTACATACTATTTAATATCATATGATACTAGGATTATCCCTTCCACTAGACTCTGGGCAGGTACCTGTGTTTTTCTCTCTGGTATTTCTCAAAGGCCCCAGGACAGTACCTTGTAATAAGCAGCACACAAACCATTTACTGAAATGCCTCGCTTTTTTTTTTTTTTTTTTAAATTTTTCAGACAGGATCTCATTCTGTCGCTCAGGTTGGAGTGCAGTGGCATGCATGATCATGGCTCACTGCAGTCTTGACTTCCTGGGTTCAGGTGATCCTCCCACCTCGGCCCCTGAGTACCTGGGATTATAGGTGCACACCACCACACCCGGCTAATTTTCTGTATGTTTTTTGTAAAGACAGGGTCCCCGCCATATCGCCCAGGCTGCTCTTGAACTCTTGGGCTCAAGCAATTCACTCACCTCAGCCTCCGAAAGTTGAAATCCTTAACAATTTTATGAGCACACTAATGCCCCAAACCCTTTTTTGTAACATATTCCTATTTTAATCAAAATATGACCTAAACATAGCTTTTAAGAAATCAAGACTACAAGGCTTATACAAGCAGTTCTTTGGCTTTGTAACCCAAATGCAACCACTTTTAACACTTTTATCTATTTCTTTTGGTATTTAATTCTGTAATTCTAAATAATATGCTTATACTGCTATTTCCTGATCATCAATTTTAGACATTATCTACTTCACTTATTATGGCAGATGAAGGATTTTATCTCACATATAACTTCTCCCCTCTACTCCCTCTACCTTCCCATTATAATATCTCAAGTTATTGCCAATACATAGTTGGTATTTCCACTGATTGCTGTTTACGATATTTCCTTTCTTCAAAAGGATATCAAAGAGTATGAAGGAGGAGTTTTAATTTTAAATCATGAGCACACAGAAAACATTAATATATTACAGTGATGGGATAGTGATGGCATATCTTCCAGACTCCGAAAACTCTGAAATACTGTGAACCTAAAATAGCTACAATCTTACCTCTAATTGGGCTAATTTTTCCTGAATCTTACAAAATTGGTCATCATCCACCTGAACTGCTTTCCTCATCACTTCTCCCATTTCGCAGATTCTGTCAATCTGACTCTCAATTTCCTGTGAAGATATTAAGGAAACAAAGGTGGAAAAGTCACCTGTTCTCTATATATAAAGAACATAAAAGTGTGTGCATTATGATTTTTAAAAGTTCATTTAATCTATGATACAGAAGTTACAATGGAGTTTCACTATAATTTTAGTCCTTAGACATAAAGCCATAGTAAAGTGATCTTGTGGTATTCACAGATAATTTTTTTTTTTTTTTTCCCAAAAATCAATTGTGCAAGACAGTGTGGCGATTCCTCAAGGATCCACAACTAGAAATACCATTTCACCCAGCCATCCCACTACTGGATATATACCCAAAGGATTATAAATAATGCTATTATAAAGACACATGCACACATATGTTTATTGCGGCACTAT